TTAGCATTTGCGACAAATTGCACAACAGCAGCAAATCCAATCGGCGATATGGTGACAAGGTGATTGTGAGCTAAACTGATAGGAGAGTTAGGGATTGAGCAGAGGAATTGAATTTCACCCGTACTTGAATCAAAGAGTGTGCATTTAGACTCGAGCTCAGCGGGCCGGGCCGGGAGTCCGTGGGCGAGTAAAACAGCAAAAATGTGCCACGCCTTCTGTGAATCAGTGCTCGTGGTGAGTTGACTCATACTGTGTTGGAGGCTAAGTTCTGAATTTGCTCCCTGAGTCCCCATTACCACTTAGATCTGAAAATTTGAACCAAATGAAGATTTACAGGTGAGAGAGAGAGAGAGAACGTGAGTGTGTGCGGCTTCCCGCGCGGGAAATGGATTTTTGGGAAGGGTTTGAGAAATGAGTAGTGGCACGTGCGGAATTCCCGCCAAATTTTGGAGGAAAGTGAATGGGCCATTGATGGGCACTCAATTTGGGCTAGTAAGACTGGATAGCTGTATATTAGAAAATTGACATAAATAGCAGTGAATGGTCATTTAACGTTATGAGCATCTTATATGTGCACCTACGATATTCTATTGCCACTTTATTATTGGTGTCGCTAGATGAAGGGAAATTGGCGTAAATGGTCCCTAACTATAGCCCATATACGATTTCAGTCCCTATATATTTTTTTTTCTTGGCAAGAATGTCCTCAACGTGTTGGTTTATCTGAGCAAATAGACCTTGTTCATGGCTTCTATCAATTTGATCCTTTAGAGTCATTTTTATAATCAAAAGACTAGCTCCTATTTGATGCCCATATTTCATCAAAATGAGTTTTGTGGTGGTGAATTTTTGAAGAATGTATGGTTAAAAAGTAGAAAAAATTTTGAATTTACGTGTAAAATATTTTATTTTAAGAATATGTGCTTGAAAATAAATTTGAGAAAAAAATGAGTTTTGAAATAATCAAAATCAAACAATAGCTTAAAAGAATTGACTTATTAAAGTCAAATTGTTAGACAATGATTAAAAAAAAAAAGACCACTTGAGCACATAACCATAAATTGAGGATGTCCGTGTTAAGAGAAGAACGTCAGGGGTCAAATCACAAATAAGACATAGGTTGGGGAACCATTTGTGCCAATTTTCCCCAACTTAAAGACAATGTTATACTTTTTGAAAGGAATAATACTATTTACAGTCGCTTTACGTGTCGTATTTGTGACGGTTAGTAATTAGATGCATAAAGTAATAAAAAACTATCACGTTAATACATCAAATTATTAACTGCAGCAGTGAGTGACTACAAATAACATTACTGTTTTGAAAATTATTTTGAAACAAAATAGTATTCGAAATTACGAGTTTTAAATAATTCTAGAAATTATATTGCGAACAAGTTTGCATGTGTGGCGCTCTATATTCTAGTCGGGACGTGATTGGGAATAAAAAATTTGACATATGGTACATATACCAAACTATTAAAAATGTAATAGTTTTGTCCATTTGGGGACATTCGATAAAATGTAGTAGTTTTTAGTATAGCACAATACAATTATTTTGTACAAGTTTGAATACTTTGAAGACACATTATCATTAACTCAAATAAATATTTTTAATTGCATCTATTGTCAATATAAAAAATAAAACTCTCATTTGTGTCAATCTTCTTTAGAAAACTTCAACGTTACAATCAACTTTTATACCTTTTGTACTTCTGCCATCATTTCATTTTTTGGTGTTTGCTAGGGATATAAGCGAGTTGGGTCGAGTCGGCTCGCGAGTCTAAAGTTTCGGTTCGGATTCGGCCCGATTAAAATGGCCGAGCTTTTTTGCTGGCTTTTTCCTGGCCGAGTCGGGCAGGCTCGTTTTCTCCACTTTTTTTTTCTTTTTTTTTTTGGGGGGGTTGAGGCTGCAGTTTTGCTACCTAAAATTAATTTTTTTTTATTTTAAAAAGCTCGCGAGCTCACGGGCCGGCTCGAGCAAAGCCCGTGTAAAAAAAAATAAAAAAAAGGGCAACTTACAAAGATATCCTTAAAATTAGGGGTATTTTGAAAAATCATATGCAAAATTTTTTGGAAGCAAAAAATTTTGTACAAAATAAAAAAGTGACTCAACATCACTTTTTTTCAAGAACTGTGTCACTTTTTATAAACACTTTTTATAAAAGTGACACAACATTAAAAAAATGACACAATGTCACTTTTAAAAGTTTAGTATACCTTTTTTATTAAAAAATTACATAAAATGTCAGTTTCATTAAAAAATTATGTTTGTCACTAAAAAAAGTGATAGAAATTTCAAAATGACGATTAAAAAAAAAGTGACAAAAATTCAAAAAATGGGACAGAAATTTGAAGAAAAAAGTGGCAAATTTAAAAAATGTGACACAAAATAAAAAAAGTTATACAACTTCAAAAAAAGTGACAAAAAATATTAAAAAAAAGTGACAAAAATTTTAATGAAGTGACAGAAAATTTAAAAAATATGAAATAGAAAGTATTAAATAAAATTAAGTGACAGAATGTCACCATTTTATATTAAAAAAAAAAAAGTGACACTGTGTCACTTTTCTAAATTAAGTCACTTTATAACACACAACGTCACTTTTATTAAAAAAAAAGAAAAAAAGTGATGTTTGTTACTAAAAAAAGCAATAGGAAATTAAGGAAAAAAATGACAAATTTTTTTTTTTAAAAAAGTGATAAAAATTAAAAAAAAAAAAGTTATGAACACTGAAAAAAGTGACATCAAATATGTAAGCAAAGAAATTCTAAAATGTGGCAAAACATTAAAAAAGTAACAAAAGCTTAAAAAAGTGACAAATGATATTTAACGTCAATCAAAATCTTGAAATAGATTCAACAGATTGTTGATTTTTTTTTGCATTTTGTCTCATTGTAATTATGTTTCACTTCTGTTAACCAACATATTAACTTGGATTTGGAAGATATTCAATAAAGTGACAAACCCTCAAAAAAATAACAAATATCAATCAAAATTTTAGAATAGATCCAAAAGACGGTTAATTTTTTTTCTGTATGTTATCTCTTTGTAATTATACTTAAACCGTGCTAACTAAATATAGAAAATAACTTCATTTTACGAACGAAATAACCTATAAGTTTGAAGTAATAAAAATTCAAAAAATGACAAATTTAAGTTAAAAAATAACAAAACATGTCCTTTTTGTTCACACTGTCGACTGACAAGAATTTGACAAAAGCATGTAACAAGAAATTTTAAAAAACAAACAAATTCCAAAAACAAACGTTAACCTAAAAAGGCACAAAGCCACATAATGTTTTCTCTTGGAACATTGGGTTTTTTCATCACAAAACTACTTTAAAAGGCATGAAATGAGCAACAACCCAATTTCCCTAAAAAAAAAAAAAAAAAAAAAGACTCTTTATAATTCATTTTGAACAAAGACTAGGTAAAGATTAAACTTTCATACCATACAATTTATCATCAAATTAGCAACCCTCCATGCTCTCATAATAAAGATTAAATTGCATAAACCAACACAAAGCTACTTGTGCACACAAGGGTTTGTACTGAAAAAATGCAAACGTAAAGTTGAAAATGGTATCTACCATTCGCATACCAAAGAAAAACACCTCCTTTTACTGTCAGATTCTTATCCAAGTTTCAAACCATAATATAACACAATAAGGGCAAATCAAAAGTGGAATAAACAATGAATTTCTTATCATAATTAGCAAAGATTGCAACATAAAATCGAATAAAATCATAAAAAATTAAAAACATTGAGACATCTTGGCTAAACTTAGGTTTATAAAGTTGTGGAGATATTTTTTTAATTTCTTCTGTAAAGTTCCTTCTTCAGCAACACTTAATTTTCTCTTCAACAACTTAGATTCACTTTCTCCAATCATGGTCTGAATCGGGTGTCGAAGTCGAGAGGTGGTGTTTTCTGCAATTTGGGGGTTTCTGATTTCAGAAGTTATGGTTCGAGGCTTTTAGCGATTTGGTGGTTGAAGCAACAACAATTTCTTGAGTTTCTCGGAATTGTTCAATGGAGACGATTGTGAGAGGAAATGAGTCATGAGTGAGGAAGGTTTTTTTGAGAGTTCTCTGGAGATAGTAGTGATTTTGGGGGGTTTTGGTAGTTTTAGGACGTATTAATTACTAACTTAAATGATTCGATTAGTTTAAAATGGTATTATTCTAATTGGTTAACTTAACAGGGTAGTGTACCTAATTTACCCAAAAAAAAAATTTTAATGGAGCAACAAACGGGACAAAAAAAATTGGCCCGCCCCCGTCTAAGGCAAGGCGAGGCGGGGAGGAGGTGTCCCGCCCCACTCCCATTGCCATCTTTAAATGTAATGGACGAACCTGCCCCTGTAGGCTCAGCACATGAAATTTCGCCATGACACAACCAACTTCCCTAGACCTCGAGCTATGAAGGACATGACGTACTAGGGTTCGTTGGCCCTAAGTTATAGACTGAAAACGAAAAGCACACAATGTTAAATTTTGAACCCTTCTTCACATACATATAAAGAAAATATGAAAAAAAATACAAAACACACACATGCACAAAGTGGGCGGATTGTTTTTTTCAATATAAAACTAACGTGGTGCCCACCCCATGTGAATTTTCCATTTTTCTTCTGTGCAAGAACCAAACAGAATTATTCTTAAAATTTACATTCACATTGTTTATTATTATTTTTTGAAAACACAATTTTTAAACCAGAAAATCCTTCTTAAATCCCACCAATTTCATTAACATACATATAACAAAGTTATTGGATTCAAAACAATTTTAAAATTTGATAAGAGACATTTTAAAGTTCAGTGACCCAATTGATACTCCACTCAAAGTTGGGTGATTTCCAATGAAATTTACCCCAAAAGTTACCCACCACATTGACTTCATTAAAGGGGGTTCGGGTATCAATTAAAAGAACACTTAATATTTTTAATGCATGTTTGTTTGGCAGTTCCCAATAAGATTAGACTGAATAACAAAATAAACAAAATTTAACTTCTTTATCTCCCTTATAATGATATCCAATCATTCCAAACATTAAACTGAAAAAACTATTCCTGTCTGCACAGTTTCATCACGATACATCCTCATTTGAAACTAATGTAAAACCCCGTTTTCCTCTCCCATATATTTTCAAACTGACGATGTGTACAAAATGTATAGTAGGTAAAAAGAAGCATCAGTTGAATTCTAACGAAATTAAATGAAAACATTATATATCGGTCAAGATTAGCGATGACACAATAACAACATAAGCTAGGAAGAAGAAGACTGCTATCTGAAGGAAAAACTTCGGATTTTCCCTCATGTTTGGAGAGGTAACAGACCTGTAAAACATAAATTAGTCGCTTCATCAACCTTACGCAGGATGTATGAGAGACAAAGAAAAACTGATATGGAAATGCTATTTATTCTTCGGAGTCCAATGTGAAGCTTTAGGAGAAATTACCTAGCAATTCGCTGAGAAAGCCGGTGGAAGGGCATACTTTGAATAAAGACAATACCGGGTCCAGTTAGAACAGCAGTTACCAAATTTTCGCCCTGCATGTGAAGAAATATAGTTAAAGTACGAGGCTTCAATGCCGTGATTGGCTTTTTGTATAGAAAAAAATGAACAAGTTACTGCACATCTTGCACAAATGTTTTTAGGTTACAGCACAAATTGAAATTGCCAAAAATAAAAGCAAACAATTACTGATTAGTTAGGCATTGGAATATTGGGTGTTAAAATTTCATGGGACGAAATCCATTGCTTTGCGTCTCAGAAACGAATATAAATACAGTCTTACAGTTTGTCAGGAACAGGTCAGTCAAAAATTTGCATATCTTGAAAAACAACTTGAGTTCTATGATGCAATAACAGTGCACACGCATAACAAGCTAGTTAGTCAATGTGCTATCAAGTAGCTATGATTTGAGGGATGGATTTGAGAAAGCACATATTATTAGAAAAGTCGGTGAATTATAGCTCTACTCGTCTAAAATTATTAGTAACTTTTGAGGAGGAATAGCAGTGAATCCGGGAAATGTACGAATAATAAATGAATAGTATTTATGAATGTGCGGTTGAAATTAATGCTTAATGTTTGATTCTGACCGGATAGAAAAAGGAAATTATTAGTAATTTTTTGGAGAAAAACTCAGACGTCATTATAATGTATCAGAATAGAGTAACATATTAACAAATTTCTAAGAAAAAACTAAAAAACTTTGATGAAGAGAAAAGAAAAAGAGTAGGATGCCAAACTGAGACTAAATAAACATATAACATAACAAAATGAAAAGCTGGTATAATCCAAGTTAAAGGTCTTCTATACCAAACACTAGATGGAGCTCTCTGCCACCCTCACCTACACTCATTTTAAAGGCCTTCTTAGAATTTTCATAGACATCTTAATGAAAACAAGAACAAGGACAATTTAATGAATTCCTCCAATTCGCCTCCCCTTATTTTCAGTTTACCACATCAGTTTTAAGTAACAAGATCTCCCTGGACATAGAAGTATTTTCTAATTGAGCAGTCTGACGCAAGAACCAAATGAATCTTTAATGCCGTTCACAGCAGCTCATGCATAGCTGTACTCTAAATGCATAGATTTTTCAAACTCGAGCTATTGTCTCAAAGCAGATCATTTTTTATTATTTTTTGGTTTTGTTCTACCTTATTTTCCATTTTCTTATATGTAAAGTACTACAGCATTTGCTAACCTTTGAGAGTTAAAAGAGTTAAAAAATGGAAGAGAAACAATCTATTTTCCTTTCCCTGCTGAAGAGAAAATTGTAATTCCTTTTTCCTCTCCACTTCTTTTCTATTTCTTCTCTTTCCTTTTTACGGTTGTCCTCAGACGTACAAAGAGAACTCTGCACTGAAAACTTGATTTATGATTTCCAAAGGAGAAGATAACCTCAGTTCCAGAAGATCCCTTTCATACAAGTGGTTCTTCCAGCAATATGAAAAAAAAAATAAATAAATAAAATGCAGACATGAAAAACGTATGTGCCCAAACAGCAAAGTACTCAGTGCAGTCTGGCCGCAACCCAGAAAAGGGGCATCTGGTGAGGGGCGCAATTTTGAGACAGTGAAAGCACAATATAATAACTTGGTAATCCAACTGCTAATTCTACAGAGA